GGGAGGTTGGGGGAGGAATTTTATAAGCTCAGGGATCATTTTGGAAAAAAAAAAGAGGGATGATGGGATAATAGATTTATAATTGTGAGTTACTGTTTTTAGACAAATATATTGGTATAGATTCTTGTATATTGATACAAAGTTAAATTATATTGCCTATTGTATGCATGCATGTTTCTACCTCTATTTAAAACATTTTTTATGTATTGACATATATTGTATTGATATATATATATATTGTATATATTTACCATATTGCAGTGTACCTTTCTACCTCTGATTAAGATACTTATATAATGTTTGTGTATTGATATATATTTACCATATTGCAATGTATATTTGTACATTGTTTATATTTGGAGGTCATTGTCCTCATTTGTTTCACAGTTGTTTATTGTCTTAGTCTTTAAGTTAGATAGATATTGAGAATTATATAGATTAATAGTCATCTAAGTGTGTAATTTATAATTAGACTAATCAGGTTCTTTAGATATATAGAGATTATACTCAGTATAGATAGATAATCTTCAACCTCTTCAAAGAGCTGTAGAAAATGGCCTTTAATCTAACTCAGAGTTTCGTGATAGTGAGACACAATTGCTCCTGGCAACACCGCTCTATTTCCGAGAGAATGTTGAGCACCAAAGACACTCCACCTGGAGCCTTTCTTTTTGGCAGAACTGGCCTTGGGGCAAAGAAATGCCCATACCTTAACCACTGACAGAGATACAGAGCATGCATCAATGGATAAAACAGGACTGTCATATCCTGCCAAGACAGGGTAAGACAGTTTTGAAAAGTTGCCTGCCTTTGAAAATGGTATGTCAGTTATGCTAGGCCTTAGCCAAAGTTGGTTGCTTCAACGCTGCAAACATGACTTTGGGTGACTGCCCAGGTAGCTAGTTGTCTCTGTGATTTGTTACATGTTTTGGAAGTTGTTTTACTGAACCTTCTAATTACCCAGGTAACATTATTTCCCTTCTCAGATCTTCGATGGGGTTGAAGACTATATAAATGTAGTTACTTTTTTCTCATGACTTGGCCAAGTTATTTATTTTACAAGACCTAAGCTAGTTAGAATAGGATATTTTGTACTTATTGTATATAATTTCGTAGTAGGTTTAGAACTCTCTTACTTAAACAAAAGGGGGAGGTGTTGCGGGAGGTCCTCCCACTCCTCCAGCCTATAGCCGCTGAGATACCAGCCCATTGGGGCGTGGTCTCTCTCCCTTTAAAAAAGCGGCCACTTCCCTCTCCTCTCTCTCTTCACTTCCTGCTCTGCTGGCGACTAGACTCCCTTCCTGGTTGCGCAGAGGGCTGTTGTCTGGGACGGTGATCTGTAAGTTTTTTCCCCTTTAAATAAATACCACCCTATTAATCATAATTCCAAACTGGTGTGGCATTGTTTGTGACTTACGTCTTCAGATACACACACACACACACACACATTTTTTTTGTTTGTTTTGTTTTTCAAGACAGGGTTTCTCTGTAGCTTTGAGGCCTACCCTGGAACTAGCTCTGTAGACTAGGCTGGCCTCTAACTCATGGAGATCCACCTGCCTCTGCCTCCCGAGTGCTGGGATTAAAGGCGTGTGCCACCACTGCCCGGCCACACATATATAAGTACGTGTATGTACACACACACACACACACACACACACACACACACACACACATCTGGCATTTAGATATTTAGTACTGAAGATTGAATTTTTTAGATTCACCTGTTTTATGTTTATGAATGTTTGGCCTGCATGTGTGCTTGTGCATCAGGCACTTGTCTGGTGCCCTTGGAGGTCAGAAGAGGGCATCGGATCCTCTGAAACTAGAGTTGCAGATGGTGAGCTGCCATGTGGGTGCTGGCAATCAAACCCACGCTCCCTGAAAGAGAAAAGTTCTCTAAGCTGCTGAACTCCCCAGCCTCTCATTTGCTTATTTTGATATTTTGGCACCTTCAGCTCACCTTAAAAAGTAAGCTTCTGGGGAGAGAGGAGGCAGCAGGAGGGTGCCAGGCTGGAGCAGGCACGTGGACAGCGGATGGGGACCCCTGCTCTGGAGGGCCGAGAAAGAGGTGCGCTCCAGCCCTGCTGACACCAGGCTGAGGCTGTGACTCCTGCCACCGCTTTAAAGACACTGTTTTCTTCCTTTGCACAAGGGAACAGGATTTTATTAGCTGTGACCCAGGCATAGCGTTAGCATGGGAGCTGGTCCTTGTATGCACAGTCCTCCCTAATCTTAGATATCGTGGCAGACATGGAATCACTCCCAGGACTGTAAACTTAAAAAAAGACAGGAGAATCTAGCCCTCTTTCCATGCCCTTTGTTTTCAGTGCTGGGATAAAACCTGGGGTCTAGAGTGTGCTAAGTCAGTGCTCCACCACCAAGCTATACCTTCAGCTCCAGAAGCCCTTTCTAGAAGAAGCCCTAGCAGAGAGCTCCTCAAGTACGGAACCATAATGGCCAGCGCATGCAGTGCTCACCCTCACCCAGGTCAGGGATTTCCTGACTCAAGAGAAAATTATCATTATTATGTGTATGTTTATAATGGCGGGGGTAGGGTGGGGTGGGACACATGTGTACCATGGCATAAGTCTGGAGGTCAGGGGGATAACTTTTAAGGAGCCAACTCTCCTACCATCAGGCTTGGGCAGCAAATATCTCTATCTGCTAAACCATCCACTGGCCAAATTTTTAAATTAAATGTGCATAGATGTTTGTATTTACATGTGTGTGTGTGTGGGTCCACGTAGAGGCCAAGGGACAACTAGAAGTTGGTTCCCTTCTCCCATGTGGATCGTGGGGCTCAGACTGGGATCATCAGCCTGGGGCAGTCAACTTATACTCACCAAAGCATCTCACCAGTCCTTCCTGGTTTGGGTTTTTATTCTCTTTTTTCAAAAAGCATAAGCTGAGAATTTCATAATGCCTATGTCTGTGTTTTGGACTGTTTGTGGCTTGTTTCACTTAAAAAAAGAAAGCTCTATCACAGGCTGTAGTCTCCAAGTGCTGAGATTGCGGCCAAGAGACACCATGACACCGCCTTCAAACTTGTTTGTGTGTTTGTTTTCCGTTTTAGTGCTGGGGATTCAGCCCAGGTTCTGCATGCTAGGAAAGTGCTCTGTACTGAGCCTCCCCCACAACCCTTACAACACTTCAGGTTCCCATTTTTATTCTTCCGAAGCTTGCATTTCATAGAAGCCTTAGCAAGAGGTTGATGAGGCCAGACCCAGGCTTCTCCTTGCTGTCTTCTGGGAGCCATGGCAGTTTCTTCCCAGTCCCTGGGGGTGTAGGAGCTGTAGGAGCTGGGCATGGCTCTGCTGGATGTGAAGACCTGAAGCCCCTCGGAAGGCTTCCAGAAGACTGCTGTGCCTCATCCCCGAAGGGCTGTGGCAGCGTGGAGCACGCAGGCTGACAGAGGGCTGAGGGCACAGGGTGCTGTGAGGAAGGAAGTAGGGGGTTTAGGGTAGGAGGTGAGGCTCCTGGGTGGGGGGAGTAGCTGCTGGGCCTGGGGTCTGTTGTGATGGCAGCTGCTCAGAAGAGCCCGAGCCCCTTCACTGGGCCACTTGTAGCTTGAGTAGTTGTGGCAATTTGAAAGAAAATGGCCCCCAAAGGGAGCAGTATTATTCGAAGGTGTGGCTTTGTTGGAGGAAGTATGTCACTGTGGAGGTGGGCTCTGAGGTCTCTATATGTTCAAGCCACACCCAGTGTCTCACACTTCCTCTCGGCTCCTGGTCAAGATGTCGGACTCTCAGCTCTAGCACTGTGTCTGCCTTTACATCACCCGTGTCGTACCACGATGATAATGGACTAAAGTTCTGAAACTGTAAGCCACCCCATTAAATGTTTTTCTCTATCAGAGTTACTGTGGTGTTGGCGCATGCCTTTATTCCCAGCACTCGGGAGGCAGAGGCAGGTGAATCTCTGTGAGTTCGAGGCCAGCCTGGTCTGCAAGAACTAGTTCCCGGGGCAGACTTCAAAGCTACAGAGAAACCCTGTCTCGAAAGACCACAAAAACAAACAAACAACAACAACAACAACAACAAAGAGTTGCTCTGGACATAGTGTCTCTTCACAGCAACAGAATCCTAAGACACTAGTGATATCTCAAGAGAGGACTGTGCATTTTGTCTGGGGGCCCACAGTCTACTGATGGCAGGATTGGGACCAGAGCTCAGGTCACCTCACTCTTCCTGCTTCACCAGGCAAGGCCTGGAACCCTGGGAACTAGGGAAAAGACGACTCTCATCTTGGCAGCCTCCCTCGCTCCAGGTGCCCAGATGGACTTAATAGGGAAGGGCATATTAGACTGGTCCCTGAGAGACTTAGTGAGGGTTCCCCCTGCTCACAGGGACTGCCAGTGCCGGGGTCCTTCCTCATGTTAGAAGTGGTGAGCTGGGTGTGCATGCTGGCAGAGCCCTGTCACAGGGACCCACTGAGTTTTACAATCGTGTGAACAGATGGTAAACCACACAGTGAGGGGCTTGCCTGGATTACACTGTGACCCGGACCCAGATCACTATCAGGGTCCCTTGAGAGACCACTGTTGCCCTTCATCCCCCGGGTCATTTCCTGACTCTGGTGTTAGAGCCACTCCTGGCTTAGAAAACAGTGACCTGGAAAGTTATTGGCCGCAGAGAAGATAGAGTCAGGTGACCATGGTACTCTTGGCATCTGAGGAAGTGGGGACAGCTTAGACAGTGAAGCATGATTTCCCCTGAGGTCTAAGAAAGTTTGAGTTTAGCTCGAATATGTGATATCCTTAAGGTCAGGCAGTCCAGATATGAGGAGGCCGTGGATAGAAACTGTGGAGGGCTGGATGGGGTGAGAATGGCAAGGAGTGGCAATAGGTCAAAAACCCAAAACAACCAAATAAAAAAGCCTTTTCCTGATGGGGCCACTGGAGACCCTCAGAAGCCGGGAGCTGGGCCTGGGAGAGGTAGGGTGACACAGTCCACAGAAGGGGCAAGAGTGGGGCTGAGACTTACCTGGAGACTGAGTTCTCAGAGGTGCGGGCTTTGGAAGCATTGCAGAGGACTGGCCGGGGCCTCACACACTCCCAGAGCCTGCCAGAGACAGCAGCGGGTATGGAGACAACTCTCACTTCAGACCTGCTGCCTGGATACGACCTTCAAGACCTGTGGTGCCACTCTCCAAGACATGGCCTCTGGGACACCCCCCCCCATCCTGAACTATAACCCCACCACCGGACACACACTGGCCACTGAACACAACCACAGCCCTCAGCTGTCTACCCCGCCATCTGTTTGCTCCCCTTCCACCTTAGTGTGTTAGGGTTTTTGCTGCTCTGTTCTGTGCTGTTCTGTGGGTGCAACTAGTGCTGGACTGCTGCACCTGGGCTGCCGGGCTTTAAGAGATGGGGTTCCTAGGATCCTGATCCATGGGAGATGGGGCTTCAGGAACAGAGAGAAATCCTGGGATCAGACAAAGGGGTGGGCGTACCTGGCAGGTGGTATGGGCATTCCGGCTCCTGGGCACCAGGACCAGCAGCTGGGGTGTGTGCTGTTCCACAAACTGCTCACACTGAGGAAAGACAGATAGACAATATGTAGGTCCCAGTCTATGGCAGGATGTATCTGTCCTGTAGTCCTGGCCTTCTTGCCTCCCCTGGCCACTCCATTCCTTCTGACAGTGGGCATGCGTCTGTCAGTGTCTGGCTGACCTTTCAGACTCTATCTAAGGACTGGAGAGATAGCTCAGTGGATGAGGTGCTTGTCCCCCCTTTGGAAGACCTGATAGAGGGGCTCATAACCATCCTTAACTCCAGTTCCAGGTAATCTGCTGGCCTCTTGCAGCCTCTCTGGGCACTGCACACACATGGTACCCATACATGTATAAACATGAAACACATACACATGAAAATAAAAAAAGACCCCACCTAAGCCTGATTGACTGCAACTGGTTTCTGTGGGGAAGGCAAGGCCCTGGAGCTGGCTTCTGGGAAGAGACCGGTGGGCTTGCCTCACTCACATCAGTTCATGTTTGCCCAGCATGCATGAAGCCGTCAGTTTAAACTGCCTGGAGCACACAAAGCTGAGCATAGTGGAGGTCTCAGTACAAAGGAGGTGGAGGCAGGAGGATCAGAAGATCCTTCAGTGTCAGGTTAGGTTACACGAGACCCTCTTTCTAAAGGAAGTACTTTTCTACTTTGGTGAGGGAATTTATCATAGGTTACAGAACCATAAATCTCAGTTCTTCTTTTAAAATGTCTTTTGCTGGGGCTGGAGATATGGCTCAGTGGTTAAGAGCACTGACTGCTCTTCCAGAGGACCTGGGTTCAATTCCCAGCACCCACATGGCAGCTCACAACTGTCTGAAGATCCAGTTGCAGGGGATCTGACACCTTCACACCAATGCACATAAAAATAAAGTTAAATGAAGCATAAAAAAAAAAGTCTTTTGCTTGTTTTGTGTTTTGAGGCAGGTTTCTCTGGGCAGCCCTAACTTCCCTGGAACCCATTCTGTAGACCAGGCTGGCTTCTAAAGCAGAGATCTTCCTGCTTCTGCTTCCTGAGTGCTGGACTAAAGGCATGCACCATCACTGCCTGAAAATTGTGTTTTATTTATTTATACGTGTGTGGGTGCACGTGTGCTCAGGACAGCTTACAGGAGTTGATTCTCCTCTTTCACCATAAGGATTTCAGGGATTAAACTTAGGTTGTCAGACTTGGAGGCAGTACCAGTGAGCCATCTCACTTAGTCCTCTCCCCATTTCCTCTTGTTCTCTTCCCTTTCTATCTCCTTTTTCCAGACAAGGTCTCATGTAGCCCAGGCTGACCCTGAGCTGAGGCTGACTTTGAACTCCTGATTCTCCTTTGTCAGCTTTCCAAATGCTAGGATGACAGGCCCCCACTACCGCATTCAGCTTCTAGCCCTCATGTACAGGTGGACTGCTCCCAGCTGAGTTACAGAGTGAGCAGGCTGGGACAGGGAGGATCCTGGGAGAAGGCTGAGTTCTTTTCCTGCTCCAGCTGGCCCTGGCTTTGCTCATTTTCTGTTGCCTATTAGACACTGTCAGATGCTGCCCACCATGGGGGTAGCATGTGGCCCACCAGGGACAAAAGCACACTAGGGTGATACCAAGAAAGGACAGCGTGACCCTTTTCTACTGGGACTAATAGCACTTTGAGCTTGGCCCATGAAGAAGGCCTGTTGATGGCTGGGATCTAGTCCAAGTCCTGGGTGTCTTCGGCTACAAAGCCTCTTCTGGTTCAGCCACCACCACGTGTCAGTCCTATTCGTGTGCCCACCCTGTACCTTTTGCCTGTCCAGCCAGAAGCGAAGGCAGGCCTGGCGCATTGTCTGCGGCATCGCCTCTTCACTTGTGTTCCAAGCCCTGGTGATCACGGCCTTGCAGAGGTGGCACTCAGTGTCTCGTGGTGGCCATTCTTCCACCGGGGAGTCCAAAGCCGGGAGGGCTAAAGGGAAAACAGTCAAAACTGTACTTCAGGGTGGGCATGGTGACATATACCTTGCCACGCCAGCACTTGAGGCTGAGGCAGGAGGATCACACCAAGCTTGAGGCCAGTCTCTGCTCTGTAGTGAGACTGTTTTAATCCTTCCCCCAAAGCTGACATACACAAGTGTTGGTTCTGGGGCTGGAGAGATGGTTCATTGGTTAAGAGCACTGGCTGCTCTTCCAGAGGACCTGGGTTCAATCCCCAGAGCCCACATGGTGGCTCACAACTGTCAGTTATTCCAATTATAGAGGATTCAGCTTCCTTTACGGCCTCTGTGGGAACCAGGCACACCCAGGGCATATAGATGTAGATGCTGGCAAAACACACATACCCATACAAATAATATATAAATAGTTAAAAAAACAGTGTTGGTTCCTGTCCCCCACCTTGTCCGTGTACCCTCCTCCTCTATATGTGCGCTGGAGCTCTAAGTCAGGAAGAGGACCAAAGGAGGAGGGGTGGGGGGATGAGAGCAGGCTTACCTGGGTCAATGACGTTCTCAGTGGCGCATCGGAGGACAAGGCCGCAGACTAGCTGGGGCACCACACGGCCCAGCAGTGCATCGAGTAGGAGGACTGTATAGCGCTCAGCCAGGCACTGGCAGATGCCTCCCACCACCAGGGGTACCACGTGGCACACCTGGGCCACAGCCACGGCCAGCACACCCTGGGGTGGAGGTGGAGAAAGGACAGCATGGGACCTTCCTCTGGCATATGAGTGGGCACCCCAGGCACACCCCTTTCTCCCTTCTAGGAAGGCGAGGTGTGCTGTCCACAGGCCACTGAGCATCCAAGACAGCAGCGACTCAGGGGTGCACCTGGAGTCTTTGAGAGAGTCAGCAGTTGACACAGACCAGATCTGACTCCAATTGCTTTAGAGCCGCTTGAAAGGGGCAGCAAGGCCAAGGCTTCTGACAGCCTGGCCCAAAGCTAGAACTCCAAGCCCATTTCCTGAGCCAGGGCCACCCTACTTCCCCATGGTCATCCATCAGGAAGACAGACAGTTCCTTTCATTGGGCCAGACAGATGACGGGGTCTTTAAGAGCCCCTGGGAAAGCCATGCTTATCCCACCTCTCGCCAACTTCAGACAACCTCTAAGCTGAAGGGCATCAGAGGTCACAGATGTGTGGCTCTTTCCTTTATTCAGCCCATGTGACAAGCTAGCCCCAGTCCCAGGAGGTTGAGAAAGGAAGAGGACTCAGCGTATGGACACCTCTGGAGTGTGCGGTGCTTCAGAAATGGGGCACGCCGCTTAAGGCACCCACCTGGGATCATCAACCCACACATGGCTCTCCTCCTGTTATGGTGATATAAGTCAACAGTCATTGTAGTCAGTGAACAAGCTGTTCACTGGTGACCCGGGCTCCACCCTGGGCTACCTCCCTGGCCTTATCCTCTCTCTGGTCCCTGCTGTCTGGAGATGATGCTAAAATGGCTTCCTCGCTGGGCCTGCTCCCCTTTCTGGAACACTTCAGCTCTGCATCCCCTGCCCAGCTCTCATCCTGCCTGGCCATTCAGCAGTTTTCTGATCAATTGAACACCCTTCCCTGACAACAGACCCCCCACTTTGCTGACTGTTCTCTCTCAGCTCTTCTGCCGCTGTTTCCACCGGTCCACACCTTGTCTCTTCATGCTTTTTCTCGGTTCTTGATTCAGTCTTCCGCCGGTGATGCTCAGGCTGGTTTGACTGGCTGTTTGTTTGTTTATGCATGCGTATGTTCTTGTATATGGACACTTGTGTGTGCAGGCATGTGGAGGTCAGGGGTCAATGTAGTGTCTTCCTTAGTCAATCCCCACCTTTTCGTTTTTTTAAAGATTTATTTTTATTTATATATGTGTGTGTATCTGAGTATATGTATGCTACATATGTGCGGGTACGCACGGTGCCAGAAAAGGGCGTTGGATTCCCCAGAGCAGGAGTTGCCTGACAGGGGTGTTGGGAACCCAGCTCAGCCCTCTGGAAAAGCAGCAAGTGCTCTTAACTGTTGAGCCATATCTCCAGCTCCTCTTTCTTGTTTTTTGAGACAAGGTTCCTCACTAACCATGGAGCTCACCCATTGGGCTAGGCTGACTGGCCAGCAAGCTCCAGGGAGCTGCCCATTTCTTCCTCCCTGGCGCATAGAGTTCCAAGTGTGCATTGCTATCCCCAACTTTTTATGGATGCTGAGGATCTGAACTCAGGTGCAGCCAGGATGTTTCTCACTGAGCCATCTTCCTAGCTCCCTGAGCTCCTTCCTTCTTGATGGATGTCTTTGGCTCATCAGGACCTTGCTTCCGTCTGGATCTTGGCTTAATTGTTACTTCTTCGGCGCCTCCCCTGGCCTAATTCCCATGATTTCATCTGTGTGACCCCTCAGCTCACGGGGTCTATAATCTGCATCTTCTTTCCACAACACAGGCTTCAGAAAGGTGGGGATGTGTGCCCTGCTGTGGGTCTTGAGTGACTCCATTTGGGCAGTGTTTATAGGGCATGACCATTTGTGGGCAGGACAGCCCAGGGCTGATGAGGCCACTGGGAGAAGCCACCATGGGTTTGGAGACAGAGGGATGGAGATTACTGGTGGACATTCAGATTTGGAGAAATTAATGCATTCTTTTCCTACAGGGACCATCAGGACTTCTCAGCCTTCAGATGGTGAACTCCTGGAAGAGAAGGCTGGCCCTAACAGACTCTCCTGTACCTGAGCCTCAGTTTCCTTGGGTAGGGACAAGGCGTGGGTGTCTCCTCACCTACCTCCTCACAGCTTTCTTGGTGTGTTGAGGTGAGGGAAGGTGCAGCTATTAGGGACCCTTCTGAGCTCTGTGGGGTTCTGGGCACTGAGGCCTTACCTTGGGAATCACAGTTTGGACCCGCTTGATCAGAGTCCTGCAAAGCCAGCAGAAGGGCAGAGGGATGGGGAGCTGTTGCTCAGAGAGGTCCTGAGGAAGGAAGGGGTGAGGTGGGGTTAAGGTTGGTGCTTTCCGAGCCCTGCTGGTTTCACCTTGCCTTCTCTGCCTCCTACTTTAAGCTCTGCCTGGTGCTTTTTGTCTCTTTCCAGCTCTGCCCCTCTGGGTGCTCACGTGTCTCAGTGGCCACTTTAGCCTTCGGGATTTTCCACAAGCGGCTGTTGGAGGGTGAGGTGGGGAGGGTTGACTTACCTGTGTGTGAGGCCCAGGCCTTGCCAAGAGGGCCCCTGGCAGCGCAGGGAGGACCAGCTTGTTCAGCAGAGGATCTGGAATAGCATCTTGCATCCCTGAATCCTGTTCTAATTTAGCCTGTCCCAGTGGGCACAGGCCCACATGTTTGCAGATAGCCTTTGGGTTCTAGGGCACAGAAAGGTAAGGGCTGTTAGGATCAGGAGGGAACCCCTCACTGCCCAGGCTCTGTTCAGGGACAAGGATCACAGTCTTTGAGCCTGGACTTTTGGGGAGCAGGCTGGGTGGGAGGCTCCATTTTAGGATTCCAGGGAAGGGACAAAGACTGATGGGATGATGTAGGGCCATAGGGCAGGTGTCTGGGGAAGTGTGAATGCATGTGAGCATATTGTGTGAGAATAAATAAGAATGAGGGTGTGTGAGAGAGAGGGGATGGAGGGCATGTCTGGATGGCTGCAGTATGTTATTGAGCAGGTACACCTGATCTGGGTGTCTGGATGAAGGAACTGAATTTCTTATAACTGTAGTGGGAAGTGTGTGTGTGTGTGTGTGTGTGTGTGTGTGTATGGATATGGGTGTTCATGTATATGACTGTGTGGATGCTGTGTATGTATCTGGTTGAATGTTCTCTCTCTATTTCCGTGTGTGTATGTGTGTTGGGGCCACTTATACAGGAAAGTGACCACTTAGGCATGTGAGCTGTGTGGCGGGTGTGGCAGGCAGGTCAGGGTCCTCACTATCTGGCTCTGGAAGTAGTCGATAACCAGGGGCAGGTAGACATCAAGCACTTTTCGACACCGGGGCACGAGCAGCTTCAAGGGAAGGACATCACATTCTTGTTCCAGGAACTTTCGGATTGTGTCCTGGGAGGGTAGAGAAGGGAGGGTTAACCTGGCCTTTGTGAGGTCTGCCCCACCAGAGTCCCCTGATGCAAGACCTCCACACTGGGTGTGTGTGGGCAAGTGTGTGTGTGAGTGCATGCAAGACCTCCACCGGAACACACTGGGTGTGTGTGGGCAAGTGTGTGTGGCCTCGGCTCACCAAGGCCAGAGGCGTCAGATCATCCTGGAGTGACTGCGGTCGTAAGCTGTCTGAGGTGGGTGCTGGGAACTGAACTCAGGTCTTCCAGAACATATGTGCTCTTAGCCATGGAGCCATCTTTCCACCCCCTAAGCTCAGTTTTATGAACCTACCCTTGGGTGGATGAATCCACATGGAGGCCTCACCTCAGCCTAGAGACACCTTCTGGGGAGCTTGTTCCTTCTCCTCACTCTGCCCCTTACCCCTTGTCCCCTAAACTTCACCCAGGTCTGGTTCCCATTACCTGGAAAATGTCTTCCTTGGTCATCTTTATGAGGAGATGGACAATATCCTCACACTCTTGGCACAGGTCATTCTGGAAAAAGGGTCTCAAGTGGAGCAAAAGAGTTGAGGTGTGCTCCTAGCTCCAGGGAGCGTGACTTTCTCAGACACAGGCTGACAGATCCCTCTAAGGCATAAGTATCCACCCCTCATCCAATCTCATCCTGTTGTGTAGATTCTATCCCATTCCATTTGGTCCATCTCATTTTATCCCATCTTCTCTGTTGCGTCCCATCCCATCCATCCAGTTCCATCCTATCCTACCCCTTCCCATCCCGTCCATCCCATCCTATTCCATCCCATCCACCCTATCCCATCCCATCCTATTCATTCCACCAATCCTATCCCATCTACCCCATCCCATCCATCCCACTCATCCCATCCCATCCCACTCATCCCATCTCATTCATCCCACCCCATCCCATCCATCCCATCCCACTCATCCCACTCATCCCATCCATCCCATCCCATCCCACTCCATCCATCCCATCCATCCCATCCATCCCATCCCATCCATCCTATCCATCCTATCCATCCCATCCATCCCATCCACCCCATCCCATCCCATCCCATCCTATTCATTCCACCAATCCTATCCCATCTACCCCATCCCATCCCATCCCATCCCACCCCATCCATCCCATCCATCCCATCCATCCCATCCCATCCATCCCATCCCACTCATCCCACTCATCCCATCTATCCCATCCCATCCCAACCCATCCATCCCATCCATCCCATCCCATCCATCCTATCCATCCTATCCATCCCATCCATCCCATCCACCCCATCCCATCCCATCCCATCCTATTCATTCCACCAATTCTATCCCATCTACCCCATCCCATCCCATCCATCTCATCCATCCCATCCATCCCATCCATCCCATCCATCCCATCCATCCCATCCCATCCATCCTATCCATCCTATCCATCCCATCCATCCCATCCACCCCATCCCATCCCATCCCATCCTATTCATTCCACCAATTCTATCCCATCTACCCCATCCCATCCCATCCCATCCCATCCCATCCCATCCCATCCATCCCATCCATCCCATCCATCCCATCCATCCCATCCATCCCATCCCATCCATCCCATCCTATTTCTCCCACCCATTTCATCCCAGCTCATTCCATCTAACCCCCCATCCATCCAGCTCACTCTACTCTTTCCCACTTTTTATCAGCCTCTCCCATCCATTCGCCCTGTTTTGGGTCATCACATCTATTTCATTCTGTTCAGTTCCACCCATCATTTTATGCCATACTATGCCATACCATCCTCCACACCACCCCAGCCTCTGTGGGAACCCCATTTCCCTTATGCCCATTCAGAGCCCACCCTGATTCCTCCTTTCCAGATCCCCAGTGCATCCTAGCACTACTCACAGCTCCTGCATGTCCCCAGACTTCCTGTAGGCAGTGCCCCAGGGCTCTGCACTGCACTGCTTGCTCCAGGTTTTGGCACCAGAATTTAGGACCCTGTGCACAGTCCGGGGATGAGGCCGACCCGACAGCTATAGTAGGGGTCAGAACAGTCTTCATCAGGATCCAGGATACACTTGGCACTCTGCCTCCACTCCACCTCCAACCCAGTTTCATGTCAATCATCTGAGTCCTCCTGCCTCAGTATCCACCAACTGACCTTGGACAAGCCCCTAGGGCCTCTCTGGGTCAGCTGACTTGTCTTTAAATTCAGGAATATGTGCAGCCTGGGATTGTCCTAGGCACAGAACTGGCTCAGTAAGTGATGGAGATGCCTCTGCAAGGGAGGCTGGGAGACTCACCTGCACCTGGGCTGCAGAGTGTGGGCAGCAGCAGCAGCAGCCACTGCAGTAGACGTGACTTGGCCATAGTTGCCTACTACTTGGCACGCTATTTGAGGCATGCTCTTATAGTGGGGGAGAGGACCTGGGGGCCGGACTCCATGGGAGCAAGCTGACCTCAGTGTTTGCCTGGGTCTTGAGAACCCTCCAGGTGTTTGATCCCAAGCCTCCTCAGCAGGGTCATGTCTGCCACCTCCCCTGTGCTGGCTGCTGTTCCTATTCCTTTCTCTTACCCTCCTCCCCAGTTTCTGCAGCCTGTCTCTCTGCTCATCCCCAAGGGGGTCTTGCTTAATCCCAACTCTCTGTGCAAGGGATGTTGAGGCAGGGCTGTGAGTGGGGTGAGAATGAACCTCTCCAGCCCCACCCCAGGCAGTCCTTAAGCAATGCTCTTGAGAGCTTCCTGCCTGCCTCTTGATACAGGGTAAGTGCCGGAAGGGCACATCCAGGGTCCTCCTAGGGCTGCCTAAGCCCCACTCCCTCCTTACTTTAAAAATTCTCTGATTCTATAGACTCTGGTTGGTGCTAGTGGGAAGAAATTCAGACAAAACAAGATAATGCCCTGTGAGGCTGAGGCAGGAACCAGAGTCTGGGAGGATTTCTGTTTCCCCTGTGGCTCTCAGGTAGCTTTGTCCAGAAGCAGATTCTTATGCCCCTTAACCACCCTTCCTGGGTATGAGATGGGGCTCCCCCGAGGCCATGTCCCCACCGGACTGGGCCCCAGCGAGACAAGAGTGGGCAGTAGGATACTGCTGTGCCCCACCCATCAGAATCCCCTTATTCGATTCCTGCCATGGCTTTCTCCTTGGGAAGTGCTCCAGTGCTCCCAGGCTGGGAAGGGTGGGAGCTAGTCCCGTGATGAGATCAAGTAGCTGGATGCACGATGGAAGTGGCTCACAGATTCATATGGTTTCTATTGGCGTCAAGGCCTTGCCACCGTGCCGAACAGTTGCCACAGTGAGGATTAACTGAGGCTGGGTAAAAATGTGTGACCAGAGATTATGAGCCCAGTGGCTTGGCTAAAATCAGGATAAGTTTGAGGCCAACTTGATCTACAAAGCAAATTCCAGACTAGACGGGGTTACAAAGGGAGCCTGTCTCACCCTTCCTGACCCCAAAGGCAGTTTGTTGTTATTTATTATTATTATTGTTAGTTATTAAGACAGTATTGAGTCCAAACTGACTTCAAAGTCATTATGCAGCCAAAGCTGACCTTAAATTTCTGATTTTCTGCTTTGCCTCCCGAGTGCTGAAATTACAGGTGTGCATCGTCACACCTGGTTCTATCTGCGCTGCTGGGGATTGACCATCACACCTGGTTATATCTGCGCTGCTGGGGATTGACCCAGGTCTGAAATTACAGGTGTGCATCATCACACCTGGTTATATCTGCGCTGCTGTGGATTGAACCCAGGTCTTTGTGCATGGTAGGCAAGCAGTCTATCCTTGAACTATATTCCCGGCTCATGAATTAGCCTCAGCCTTGGATCGATTGATTTCCATTTTGCCTCTCACCAGTCCTGTAAGAAGGCCACTGACACCCAGACATCCAACCCTGTTGAGAATCTACCTCTGGAACTCACTAATGCCCACAATGGTCTGCAGCTCACAGAGATCCACCTGCACCTGCCTCTGCCTTCTGATTGCTGGGATTAAGGGAACACACTATTATGCCTTGCTACATGTATATTTATTGTAAATGTTTTTTTTTTTTTTTTTTGGTTTTTCGAGACAGGGTTTCTCTGTGGTTTTGGAGCCTGTCCTGGAACTAGCTCTTGTAGACCAGGCTGGTCTCGAACTCACAGAGATCCGCCTGCCTCTGCCTCCCGAGTGCTGGGATTAAAGGCGTGCGCCACCACGGCCCGGCTATTGTAAATGTTTTTATGTAAGTCATAGTAACCAAGACTGCCATTTACGGGTCTGGAGAGGCTCTGCTTATGAGCACTGGCCGCTCTTCCTGAGACTCTGGGTTTGATTCTCGGTACCTGCATGGTACCTTAGAACGGCTGTAACTTCAGTTCAGTGGATCTGGTGCTCTCTATGGGCACTGTACACATATGGTGCACAGACGCACACAAACAGGCATGCAGGCAAAACATCAGGCCTAGGCTGAGCGAGGCAGTGGGACTTGCACAATCCCCTCCAGGTGACCCTGCTACTCGCCGGCTACCGTACCAGAGCCCTCAAGGTTCTTTGCACATACGTGTTTCATTTTGCTTGTGTCACAACGCAGCAGAGCTCTGGTCCATGAAGTCATCCAGGCTCCCAGACTCCTCCCTCTGCTTGGTTGGAGGCTCACAGGCCTCCTAGGTCACCCACGTCTGCCTGGCAGCATCTAGGAAGAGTGGAAGACAATGAGGGAGGTTTTAGGGACCAGGACGGGTGTGGTGTCTGCCATGGAGCCTACCATTCTGTTGGCACTTTACCCCAGGGAAAGCGAGGAAGGGGCCATCTTAAGAAAGTGATGAGATCTGCTTTGCTTTTTTATTTCTAGACAAGGACTCAGGGAGCTTAGCCTGGTCTCAAATTTGATAACGTAGCTGAGGATGACTTTGGACTCCTGATGCTCCTGCCTCCACTTTCTGGGTGCTGCGACTGATGGGTGTGTGTGCATTGCCATACCTGGTTTATGTGGTGCCGGGATTACAGATGTGTGTCCACCATGCCTGCCTAGCTCGTGTTTCTCCAGGCATCCCACTGTGCCACTGAAGACGCCTATGATGTCTTCTGTGGTATGACTGTCAGACACTGCCCCCCCTCCCCCCCACTGGACAGTCCTCAGGACCTTGATAATAGCTCTAGAGAGTTCTTTGGCTAAAGACTAATGCCAAAGTAATGTCAAGTAATGCAGACAATGCCAACAGAGGTGATATTTCTGCTACGTTTTACGTTTCTTGTTTCTTTCTGCCTCTTGGTGGTCCTTGAGGGCTTTGATGGCAAGGGCAGAAACCTGGGCCTATGCCTTCTGATGGTCCATCTTGCTCAGGGTCAGGATAGGCATGACACTGCCTTGGACACTGGGGCCTCTCAGGTGCAGATCTGTGATGTCACTGGGATGAGACATGGTGTTGGTGACTGGTGTCAGATGAGTCTGGACCTGGTGTGGACTTGGCCTTTTTGGCATGTGGACCGAAGGTCCCAGAATAAGGTAAACATGTGTCAAACGTTCAACAACTATGACTGGCTGCTTAGAACTCTGGGCCGTGGAAAGCTGGACTGTCAGAGATCCACAGCTAAATTATCTCCTCAAGAGCCTTCGTCACCTGTGCCAACAAGCTGGAAACCAAAGCCTACGCCTTTAATTTTTCTTTGTTTTAAAAACATTTATAAAATTTTAATTATGCATATCTCTATGTGGATTGGCATGGGTGTTAGAAAAGAGTGGATTTGGAGCTAACAAGGTGGATCTGGGGTTAAAACCGCTTGCTGCTCTTCCAGAGGACCTGTTAATTTGGTGCTGGGAACCAAACTAGGGCTTTATACTATCTAAGCATGCGCTCTATGGCTGAGCTACATGCCGGGTACACACTAAGCTTACTAAACTGTATCTTTTTTATTGTTTATTTATTTATTTTTTGAGGCAGAGTTTCCCTGTAGCTTTGGAGCCTGTCCTGGAACTAGCTCTTGTAGACCAGGATGGCCTCGAACTCAGAGATCCGCCTGCCTCTACCTCCCGAGTGCTGGGATTAAAGACGTGTGCCACTACTGCCCAGCCACTAAATTATATCTTTAAAGGGGCTTATTTTGTTTTTAAGTATATGTGTGTGCCTCTGGGTGCTTTCCATGTGTGTGTGCCTTGCCTGTGTGTGGAGGTGTCCTTGGATCCAGAAGAAGGCATTAGATTCCTTGGAGCTGGAGTCATAGGTGCTCATGGGTCACCTGATGTGGGTGCTGGGAATCAAACTCAGGGTTCCTGGAAACTAAGCAAATGCTATAAACACTGACCCATCTCTCCAAACCCTAAATTGTATCTTTTGAAAAAGACTTTTATCTTTATTGTGTGTGCATGTGTGTGTTTAAGTGTACACACAGTGTGTGCACCTGTATGCATGTTTCTTCCCCGATTACTGTCTCTTCCTTTGAGGTAGGATCTCTCCTTGAATGTAGACTCCACATTTTCTTGGCCAGGCTGGCAGCCAGAAAGCTCTAGTGATCCTTCTGTCTCTGCCTGTCTCAGAGTAGGGGCTACAGGGGTTCAAAAGACTCCTGTCTTGGTTATATTTACGCTGAGATCTGAACTCTGGTCCTCATGATTTCGCAGCAAGCCCTCTTAACCACTGAGCCATTTCTGCAGCCCTCACATGTCTCTTAAGTATTATGTTGTTTATATGAAGTAAGAAATACAGATAAAGCACTTTTCTGCATGGGATATTTGATGTATCTTGGGGAACATTTGCACAGCTGGGTCACAAGTTGAGCTAACCTTTCTTCTTGGAGAATACCATTTCCCCCTGTGGTAATAAAGTAGAGAGACGTCTCTGTGGTAGAGCTTGTGCTTGTGCAGTGTAATCCCCGCACCACAAACCCCATGAACATAAAATGTGTCTTCTTGATGGCTTTCATGTGGCCAGGTCTGAGGTTCTGGGTATATTCTCATTGCGAAATAAATCCCCAGGACATTGTCATCTTGCAGAGCTACACTCTGTGCCCATTAAATTCCTTTTTGTTCCTTTCCCAGCATCTGATAACCATCGATCTTTCTGCTTCTGTGAATTTTTTTTAGGGAGGTTTGTTTTTGTTTTTCTAGTGCTGGGGATTGCTCTGCCGGTTCACACACACACAGACACACAGACACACACATGCACATGCACACACACGCACACACACGTATTTCACACACACACACACACACACACACACACACACACACACACACACACACACGTTTTAGTAAGTGCTCATGTAGCCCAGGCTATTCTCAAACTTGATAAGTAGCTGAAGATGACTTTGAGCGTTGATCCTCCTCTGGGATGGCAGGCCTGTGTCACTGTGCCCGGTTCATGTGGTACTTGAACACAGGCTTTATGCATG